ACAGCGTTACACTGTTTCAGAACACTGCTTACTCAGCAATTGTCTGAGTAACACTAACAGGCGGCGAACCAGCAGCATAGCACAGTCGGTCTACCAGCTGTCTGGATGGCATTGTAAGGGCAACCCTGGAGACTCCGACGAAAGCCTAGCAGGGGAGGATCCAAGACGTGAATAAAAGCTACAGGAAATACACGGAGGGACCGACCTAGCAGGGGAGGATCCAAAGAGAAGAAACTCTAAGGGTCTGCCTGCTAGGGCGCCAACTATATACTGGTCGTCCGTAACTGCCGACGTAGAGCGCAGAAAGCCTGAGCTGAGCGGCGTTGCAGGCTCTGTCCCAAGGTGATCGTTGGGAGGGTCTTGACGGATCAGTGATTGTGCGGGCGAAGGAGGCCGAGGACGAGGGTTGGGGTAGGTCGGAGCGTCCGGGGGGGCGCCGGTCGGATGTGCCTCGGATGCGCTCGGATGGTCTGAAGGAGGCCGAAGTGGGGGTTCCCCTGACAGGCATATGACTATGGTCAGGCCCAGTTTCAATGGGCCTTGAAGTTAACTTGAGCTTAGGTTGGACTTGCACCAACTCCAAGCCTCAAGACTGGTCTGGTGTGATGCGTGACATCAGGTATCAAAAGCTTTGGCTTGGGCTAGCACCGTCACGTGGGGGAGTTCAATGTTGAGTCGTGGTGATTATTTACTTGCTTGCTTGCTTGGTGTGTGTGGGGGAGCTGGGGGGGAGGGAATACTGACCCATTTCGATCAATTCAGCGGGCCTGTGACCCGTGACCGTTTGGCCGAAATGTCCATTCGGCCACAGGCCGAATTTCGCGTGACCTATTACCCGATTGGGAAGTTCGGCGCGCCGCAGGCTCGAAAATTTCGAAATCTTCCCGATTAGGACAGTTTGGGACCAAAAGATTTGGCTGTGACCCGTGACCCGCCGAAATATTTCGGCCAAAAAATCCGATGTGACCGTGACCCGCCTAATTGAATGAAATAGGTCAGTATCCTACACTGATCTGGAAGTCGCAGGTATTGGCCCTTGTTGCGTCACTGCCTCCGCGTCTTCCGTCCACACTTAAAGGGCTCAGTGTGATGGGAAGGTCATCCCGGCAGTCCGACGCGGACACAGTGATTGCCCGAACGCGAACTTCGCGGTGCCCGACCCCGACAGGCTGCTGGCGCAGTTGCGCTCACGCTGCCCGTCAATGCATCATATCATGATTGAGGTTCCGCTCCTGCAGCTGAGGTATTAGACCATGCCCATATGCACATCTCTTTGTAAAAATCCACGAGGCTCTTCAGTGCTGATCTCAGTGGATCACTGGGCATTGGAGTGAAGGAGACAGATGATGGTGTCCGACTCGGACACAGACAGGCTACGTGTGGAGCTAGCTCCGCCGCTGGTATCTGTCGCCGCACGCGGGGACCATTGATGCATCCACACATTAATTTGGCAATTAAGCAGCTCAAGGCACATAAGACACTCTCCCGGGGCTAACGAACAGCGTCCCTGGCAGGAGACGAGATGCAGGACCCGGGACCAGTCCGGTGCCCCACCGACGTCAACAAAACGGTACGCAGGTGGGTCCCCATCCGCGACGCACCTGCCGGCGGGCTGAGGAGTGCGCCGCGCCGCGCGGACGGCATGTCCGTGATCCCGCAGAACATGGGCCGCGCGGGATAGATGCTTGAGGGTCGAATGCAGATGCAGTATGGTGGAACACACTGTCGGTTGATCAGTGCTTTCAGAAGACCGATAAGGTGGAAGAGCACACTGAGCATTGGAGAAGTATACAGTGCGGCTTCTCCGAGGTCAATCTGCTGCGCGCATCATTTGGAGGCGCTAATGGACAGCGTTGTTGCCCACGGGCTGCATCGCATGAATACCGGTGCAGAGTGGAGGAATAAAGATAGCGCACTGCTTGCGCAAACAGCCCATGTCCGTGTTGTTGCTCCACCGCTCCAGAACATCTTGATGAAGACGCCAATGACGTCAGGGCAGCTCGAACACGCCTCCGAGTTAGGATGCTCTTCAGCGGCGCGTCGTCGAGTTGATGTCGATGCGCCGGTCGGCAGCTAAGATCGTCGTGGGGAAGCTGACGCGGCCGCAGCGATAGCATCCACGGCCCGGCCACAGTTGGGCATAAGCCAACCCGCAAGCGCGGCGGCCACCAATCCGCGGAATCGAGTAGCCTGGCAGGCGCCTAGTGTGATATTGTGTCAGGTGTACGGATTATCCTCCATAGCGCTGAGGCGGATGGCAAGCAGCACCACGGGGCACGATCGTCTCCGGATGGCCAGCGCGCAGACCCGTTAGCGTGAGCTTTCAAGTTGCGTCGACGTTTGATTTGCCAAGTCCGGACCCACAGAGTCGGAATCGATGCGCCGGTGTAAGTCCTGTGTTAGCAATTTCGTCTCAGCGGAGAGTCTCAATACAGATTTAGACTCTCGAATAAGTTGGCATCCAGAGAAGGAGTTGTTGGGGCATGTGTATCGGCTAGTGTTGCGTAGATCTGCCCCTGAGGCTGGCATTTTGCATCGAGACGAGTTAATTCGTGTCCTCGACAGTGCTGTTGCACACACGCTGCATAGTTATTAGTATAAATACCGGACCGGAGTGGAGGAACAAATCCGAAGATGACCACTCTCCAGCGGCAGGTCCATATGCTGGAAGATGATGATCATTGTCGATGTGCGCAAGATGGTGCTGACCGAGTTGGGCGTCAGGAAGCTGAGGTGGCTGCGGCGCGGGCATCAAAGGACTGCCAGTGGTTGGGCACAAGCCAAGGTCCAAGCTTGCAGCGGAGGAGAATCCAGTATGGCCCAGACCACATTTTGCATACCCGGGCAGCGGTCCAAGTTCGGTTGGGAAATCCGAGGCAGTTGCTAGTATTCCTGCTCGGGTAGAGCATACGGTCGATTTGATGACTGGTGTCTGAAGACAGAGAATAAGCTAGGATAAGAGTGGGCTTGTAAAAAAGGTGCGCTCGGTCAGCGATGTCGGGAAAGCGAGGACAGCGTAACACGCCAGGCAAAGATCTCCAGCAGCACAGTGTCGCCACAGATTTAGACTCCCGGAGAAGTTGGCGACTGGAGAAGGGGTGGTTGGCGCATGCGTATCGGTTAGTGTTGCCGTAGCATTGCGCCAGCTGGCGCCGCAGGTGTGCTGCAAAGGCTGGCATTGTGCGTCGAGATGGGCGTCAGGAACAAAAAAGGGAGGCGATTGCGTAAGATGTGACTGGGCGATCACATCATGATTAGCCCCGCGCCGGGCACGCCGATTGGCTGGGCACACGTGTGCGCTGTCAATATGTGGCAGCGCTTTCCTCTCTTCACTTCCAGCTTGGCTGCAACTGGTCGCTCCATGTTTCCGAACGAACTCTTTCACGAAGTGCTCAAAGATGTGTCGCCCGCCCAGCTCAAGCTCGTCGCTCTTGCTTCTCGTCGCCTGCGCCTGCTTGCCCGCCCATTCCTCTACAGCAAGCTTGCCGTGAAGCCATATGCGCCCCGGAGGAGCGCATTGCCTGGTCAGGCGGCGCCATCCTTAAGCTCCCACCTGCTCATGAGGTGGTGGATGCCATCGCAAAACTGGCCTTCTTCATGTCCCCCGCCATTGCGCCGTATGTGCACTGCATCAATGTCGCCTGGGAGGAAGTGAATGGCTTCGCCGAAAGAAGCAGAGACGCAGTATTCAACGATGTAGCCGGCACGCACACCATCTGTGACGTGCTATTCGCCGGCATCTCCAAGTTCATTAACCTACGCAAATTCTATGGCCACAGTCTCATATTCACGCTCTCTGCGCTCGCCAACCTTGCGCAGGTCCGCGGCCCGATTGAGCTGGATCTCTTTGCCTGTTCTGTGGACTCCGAGATCCAGGCATTCCTTCGTGCCGCTATTAACGCACTCGACATCCGTATCCGTGTCTCAAGCGTCAAAGTCGCCACCTCGGCAGCATACAGTCCCACGTGCACGCTCTCAGAATGGTTCGCGCTCTTTGAGCCCATCACACTCTCCGCGGTCAGCCTGGACATGGATCAACCAGTGGAAGGGCTTACGAGTGTGCTACCTCACGTAAAACACCTGGCGCTTAGACTCTCCGAGGGCTGCGGCGCGTTGCTAACCTACTCTGGCTGTGTGCAGCTGCAAGCGGCCTTTCCCGCAGTTGAGCAGCTTAGTGTCGAGGCGGCACTCTATGTGGACGATCCGGGGCTGCCGTGGGATGGCCCTAACGGCGGCGAACCGTTGTTTCCCGCTGTATTCAAGCTCACGACCACGTATGAAGCCAGTGAAGCTTTACCCCTCCTCCTGCGGATTGCACCGTCTATCCACACATTGCATGTCGAAAACGCTGATGCCACAAGCTTAGTGTCCGTGCTGCAGCGCAATAGGCAGTGCATCCCCGTGACAATCACGACACTCACCCTCGAATGCGACTCGGAGGACGGCGATCTTGCCGTGTGGGGCGCGGTCTTTGCACATTTTCCGCACCTGCATACCCTCGACTTCACCGTAACGATGCTGTCCGGACGCGTGCCCGCCGTAAGTGAATGTCTCCTAAGTGTCGTCATCCGAACTGTGCCCATACCCTACTCAATACTATCACAGCCTGCCGCCTTCCTCACGGGCTTCCCGGCTAGTCTTCCCTTGGGTTTGCAGCGGCTCGAAGTCAAGTACTCGGACACGAGTATGTTCTCTCGCCGTGGCCCCGGAGCGGTTCCTCGTCCGACACCTTGGTGATGCAGACAGGACAAGTGCTACGGAGGCAGCTGCTTCGCCGTTGCCCCAATCTGAGCTGGATTTCGATACTTGCACCACCCTTCCATCTCAACCTCCAGTGGACAAAGGACGCATAATCATGATATAGACACATACGAATTGAGCACACCAGATCACAAAAGATATTCAATATTGATAAACGAGAGAATGAGTGGCATTTGTATTCTTCCTTACTTGAGCTGATCTTGTGGTCAAAGGAAAGATAGGGGTGATATTGCACCGAGTCAAAGGATGCCCTGATCCAGCGGCGGGTGACCATACGTCTCCTACACCAACATCATTAGTGCATTATCCACCTCATCATTGGATAGAGAAATACGCACCGGCTCCTGTGGGTGGTTACCCAACACAGCCTCGATCCGCGCCAACACCGCAGCATCCAGCTTGGGCAGGACCTCAAGCGCGCCGAGGTTCGCCTCGAGCTGTGCGACGGAGGACACGCCGAGGATGACTGTGGAAGTGTGGCGGTGCGCCGCAACCCACGCGAGCGCCAGCGCGGTTCCGCCCAGAGTTCAGCAAGTCGGGGAGAAACGACGCACCCGCAGCAATTTGGCTGAGGAGACGCACTTTCCAAAGCAGCTCTTCGCCCTGGGGACCCTCCGTCGCCCCGCGGAACATGGGCACGGTGGTGGCGGCGCGTGCCGTCTGGGATGCCGTCGTTGTACTAGCAAAGTTAGTTTACGTGTTAGAGGGTTGAGGAGGATATACCTTCCCCGTCAGCAGTCCGCCCTGCAGTGCAGAGAATGCGGTTGTGCCCAGGCCGTACTTGGCGTACAAAGGGCTACAAAGTCAGCATTAGCTACTGCTGAAGTTTGATGGTTGCCCACGCCACGCGTATTCCTTCTCCGGACGTTCGCGGTGGAACATGCTATCGTCTCCTCAGCATTATTTCGAAGGAAGAAAGAAGATGGCGCAGACTTGTGCTTGCACTGCTCCGCGATCGGCGCAATGAGGTTTAAGCGCGTGGCAACATCTGTGCTGCGGGTAAGCGACGGGAGGTCTCGGGAGAGGTACACGCTCACGATGCGCCTCCTCGATCTGGTGCGCGCTCCACTCGGAGGTGCCCCAGTAGAAAGCCTGCGTGTGAATCTTAGTGGATATGGATAGACAAAATCCACCACTCACCCAGCCCTGGTCGATAACATAGTTAAATGCGCGGACGATCTCCTCCATCGGAACTAGCCTGCGTCAGTTGACCTCCTTATGGCATTCGGTGGTATGGTCGCAACGATGCGCGAAGATGACGTCGACATAGTCCATCTGGAGCCGTCGCAAACAAGCCTTCGTGCCCTCGATAACGCTGTTGCCAGTCAGAGTTGTAGGAAGGAAAGGAAGGTGGCGCACTGTTTGTGCGACAGCCCCGTGTCGTTCGGGCCCGTGCCTGGCTCGTGGCTCCAGAATATCTTGGTTGAGATGACGAGGTCCGTGCGGCGCCAGCCAAGTTCTTTGATAGCGTGTCCCCTGATTTTGCTGGAGTCAGAGAAAGCGTGGTCAGAAGGGAATCTCAGGGAACGCACATTTTCGCTCAGCCGCACCTTTCTGGTAGTCCTCCGCGGTGTCGAACATGTTGATCCCATTCTCGAAGGCGGCCTGCATGATGTCCTTGACGCTCTCGCCGACGACGGAGCCTCCGAGGGTGAGCCCTGTCGAGAGCTCAGCTAAAGCCAATGGGGAATGCGCAAAGACGGACAGCCGCCGAGAGAGAAGAGCGGCACGCGCAGACCGCTGGGGCCCAACCGGCGGAAGGGCATCGCTTTTTGCGTCGAAGACGGGGACTGGAGAGGACATGGGGGCAGGTGGAGAGGAGTGGAATGGGAATCGATTGCAGCGTCGGCGAACGGGCCGGTGGTGTCTGCGGAAGGCGGAGCGCCGTCGGTGGGGGGCAGTAGACCTATTAGTGAAATGAGCGATTGGCTCTGCGTGATGAGCAAGACATGGGTAACGCACCGTGAAAAACTTGAACACGCTGAGCGACTATCAGGACCCAGTTACGCGGACGAAATAGCACACGCACCTTGTGCCCCGCCCGGTTGTGCCCTGCTGCTTGCCATCCGGGCCGTCCGCGGCTGATTTCACGCCGCTTGTTTCCGCCCAGTAGAGGCCGCCACCCTGGGTGTCAGACTCGCCAGCGAAAAGTGAGGGATTACTGGGGAGTAGATCAGCGAAATAGAGACTGAATGCACAACACGCACCTCAAGCCACGCCAAATCGACCGTCGCAGCCCATCCCTGCTCCTACTCGCGCTGTGGCTCAAGCATAGCATTCGTGCCGCGCTCCGACCAGGGGCGGGACCGTCTCCCGCGCGCACATGGAAGGAGAAGACAAGGCGTGGCTGCTTACGTGGCACTGGCGATCGGCATCAGGTCCGGGCTCGGCGGCCGTGACATCAATCTCTGGTTTCTTTCCTCCGCTCCACGACGACGATGCGCTTGCACGACGATACCTAGCGCACCCTGCAGGCCACTCCGCGCACGAACGACAATCCGAGGCCCAATTTCTCTGGTGCATTTCTACTCCAGACATCGCCCTGCTCGTTCTCATAACTCGGGCCGGCAGTGCGTCCAGGACTATGGTCGAATGCCACTCCCCGTGCTCGTCAGCTTTCTTGCTCCACCCGCTTTGCGCCGCGCCGCCGGCCGTTGCTAGCCGTTGCTGCGCTGCATCTACAAGTTTGCCACCCCCCCACGGCTCTTCCTTCGCCTTAGAAATCCAGCCCTCGGGCCCGGTCCATATATCCCCTGGTGTGTAGCTCCGGTCGCGTTCGCCTCGCGGACCGGCTCTTTGCGCGACACGCCAACGACACTGGCCCGCGCTTTTGCTTCCTTGCCGCCAGTATCTTGACGCCCCACGACAATTGTACTTAACGCGCTGAATCTACGGATCCTCTAGTTTGTCGTCCACTCAACGTGCACTTACCAGCAAGCTCTTCCGCACTGAGCTGTCCCCCCCGCATGACTGTGTTTTCGGCAACGGTCATTTGATGCTTGTCATATCTATTCGACAACATGCTGGAATGCCCTGTCGTCTTACCAATCAAAGAAATATTATCGAGTTAGGCATGCACGAGTCCAAACACATGTCCGAGTCGGCGATAGATTCAATCGCTGGTCCACTGCAAGTCCAGGAATGACCCACGGATAACTATCTGCCGTAGACCGCCACACCCTTTCAGTAGTTCTGCCTGGAGCTCATCCGCGCTTGGAAGACGGCTCAATCCCACTCTTCCCGTTTGCCCCCCGGGAAGGACAGCCCTTGAGGACCAAATATGGACACGGAGACTTTCGAGAGTGGGCGGAAGGATGGTCGATAGGCTGGCGAGGAAGTGAGGGGCCTGGAGAACGGTGTTTATAGGATCAAGGCCGCAGATAACAGGACAGAATTCACCTCGCTTGGCCGAGAATCACCGCTGGACTCTTTGACACGGAAATCGAGGGTGCGCAGGTTCGGGAAGAAGGCAAGGATCCCGGACCAAAGGGAGTAATTGCCATTATCCGACTGCAATGCTACGTTAGTTATCGTGGGCGGAATATACCTCTCGATGCGCTGGAGCGTAAACAGCAGTCTCCCGGCAGCTTCATTCCAAATCTTCAGTTTGTTCACAAATGGTGTGCATGGGAGAACTGCAGGCAACACTTTGCAGGCTGTGGTCAGCTCGCGCACACACGGAAGCACACAAGCTGGCTCGCTCGCGGCCATCTCTGTGTTATAAGGCCCATCGATGACCTGAACGCACAGCTGTTCGAGTCCCGGGAAGGTGCGCGGCAGCTGCTCGATGCCAGAGTGGGTTAACACCAATGAATTCTGGATCCGCAATACAAGATGTCGCACCCGCGGGAACACGACATCTTCGCGCGACAACCTGGCAAGGCTGAGCAGACGCTTGTCAATGCACCAAGTGAACTTGACCAGCATGGCAAGATCGAGGATGTGAATCCATGACCAGAGATCCCCTTCTGGCTCCGAATCTCCAATCGCAAATCGGAAAACCAACTCAGAGACGGGAAGTCGGATATCGAGTGCACAGGAAGCTGCAGGAAACGCACCAGCGGCACCACTCTTCCACCACATCATTCTCTCGTCCCGCGGCCGCCGCTCACTCCTGAACTAGGCTTGACGGAGCAACGCCCTTGCACGAACAGTATATACCACCAGCCACGGTATGGCTTGCCAAAGCGGTCCCCACCCGGGCCGTCGCGGGTCAGGAGAACATCTGTCCAATGAGCCCAGGACCCTGCGCGGAGCGGAGCTAGCGGGGAACGACCCCGAGCGAGTCGAGCGGGGCATCAGGACGGTGCAGGCCTTCGCGTTGAGGGTTAGGGTCACGCTGGCAGACGGCCTTCTTCGCGGTGGGTCCCTCCGCTGTGTCGGCTGTGCGTGCGCGGGACTTATCTGCGGAGGTGTAGCTGAGCAAGCGGCACCACCCCCGACGTGCCCGGCCACCAGTCGACGCCCGGCGTTCCACGAGGTTGCGGAGGCGTATAATGTCCTTCGACGCCGGCGTTCCACGAGGTTGCGGAGGCGTATAATGTCCTGCGGGACGCGGTACTAGGTGTGCCGCATACGGTTGATTTCGTGTGCTTCACAGAACTGAGGAGACTGTGACAGACGCGCATATGACAACACGCTTCCGTGTGAGAAGTGGACGCACTTGAAGGCACTGATAACTTGGAGGATTCCGATTCAATAGTTTACAGAATATTTTCCACTAGAAGGACTACCAATCATTGTCATATTTCCCTGGGGGGCCCGCTGAGCGACGCCTCCGCAAGCATTTTATCCACGCGCTCCCAGAACCCCGCACTAGTCGCGCCGCCTGTCCACTCATCCTGCCACTCCGGCCAGCCGATCCCCTGGTGGACCAGGAGGCACGCAGGGTGCTCTATGAGGCGTTCGTCGAGCGGCACCTTCCCAACGCGCTGGTAGGACAGGACGAATACATTCAACCGCCGATGTGGATCCGACAGCACGTCCAGCAACATGTCGAGCGGTGGGGCGTCCCTCTGCAGAATGTCGTGGTACCACTCCTTTGTATCGATGGCGAGATGCGTCAGCGCACGAAGCGCCAGAAGCGGCGGCCAGACTTGCGGCCAGCGGTGGTAGAACGACAGGTGGAGGTGTGTGATGCGCGTGAGCGCGGAGAGGTCGGGAGATGCGGTCATCATGTAGAGCGAGAGCAGGTTCGTGGTGAGCCGCCGGAGGTTGGGCAGAGTTCCGAGCACGTCTGCCGTGCTAAATATGAGACCACGCGGTAGAATGACAACATCTTGGAGGTGGGGGCAGGAGTTCAGAATACTGTTAGTCTCAGACGAGGAGAGCTCTCCGTCGAGACGCAGACCGGTCGACTGCGCGATGAATGCCTGCCGGCGGGGGGTCTTCGATGAGCGCCCTGAAGGCAGACGGCGACAAGACTGGGAATGGTGTATTGAGAGTCGGACCAGCCTCCGGATCCCGAAGACTCAAGACGTTGTACAGCAGCGGCTCCACACTGGCGGCCACAGCTGGTCAGCGAGAGAAACGGACCAAAGTACGCATTGCCGGACGCACCACTCTTTCACCCACCACGCCACGCGCATCAACACTGGGATGCCCCCTGGCCGCTGCAGCCGCCTCGCGGAAGATGTGCAGCTCGATCTCGGGGGGAAGGGCGGGTCGTCCATGAGAGTGAGAAGCAAGATGCGGGGATGAGTCAGCTGGCGACCGCGGGAATCAATCAACTGGAAGCGCCAGTGTTCCGCAAAATGCTGTATAACATCGCTGCAAGTGCCTACCAGCGAAAGACGCGACGCCGATGCGGGACAACGCTGTTGGCAGCCAGATGCCAGCGCATAGTGGACGACGCAGAGGATCGGTCGAATAACGGCGACTGCACCATTCTTGGGGGAAAATTGGCAATATGTTGATTAGTAGTGCACGGATACAACAACGTCTATTACACTGACAATGGGTGAGCCCCAATTACTAGTATCAAGTGCACAACACACCTTGTCCCTCTGCACACGACAACCATGAGACCCGCCGAGACGGGTCAAGGAAGATAAAAAATTGTGCCACGACGACGGACAAATACGATGTACAAGGAGCTGCGTGCGCTGGCGCCCACCCGCCAGCCACATTTTATTTTTGAAGCGCCTGATCCCATGTCCATCCTGCCTCGAAAGCAGGCTGTTCCTTCCTCGACACCAGCGCGGGCCACCGAGGGCAGAATCGCAAGGTCGGCTCAGACCGTGTGGGGGAAAGTGGGCGGAAAAGAAGGGCGATGACCCGTGTTTGGCGGGCGGCGCACGGACCATGCTGATGCACGTGCACAGGGAGCCATCAAATTCATGTCCGTGGACACGTTGGCCGTGAAGGTTTTTGGGCACCATTGTAGTCCTTTGAGCGCAGAATGCTGCACTGTGTCCTCCGATACCCGACTGTATTAAGCTGGAGAAGGAGCTTGAGAGCAAGACCTGTCTTTCAAGTTGAGCGCAGTGGCTTGGCATCCCAGTCGGCTGTCACACGCTCAGTGACGCTCTCACGCGGCAACCATTTCTCTCCTAACAACCGTGTTGCCCAACGAGCTCCTCCTCGACGCGTCTTCCGACGAGCGTCAAGGGATGACCTGCACAATGTCGCCCGTGCATCGCGGGCGCTTCTGCTCTTTGGCTCGCACACTCCTACTCACCAACCTCTCGTTCCTGCCCTATACCTTTGACGACGGAGCAAACGCAGCAGTTGGAGGATAAACTGGGACTGTTTGGGTCGAATAGCGTGGCGCCGTACGTCAAGTGCATCTCTGTCAACCTGCTTAGCTGCTACTCTGGGTATTCGTACAAATTCAGCGATGTCAGGTTCAGCGACGAGGACGAGATTCATTCTATGCTCCATAGCGTACTCACGACACTCCCCCGCCGGCAATCTTCGCTACTTCAAGGCTGAACAGATAGAATTCACGACCGCGGCGCTTGGTGCGCTCGCCCAGCTACAATCACTCGAGACATTGTTCCTCATCAACTGTGCAATCCCCCCCTTCTCTCGCCAGCTCTATGTTCCTCCAGAAAATATCCATCAGCAGCTTGATACTCGCCGACTGCAGCGAACCGAGCTCCTGGCTGAACCTTGTAGCCTCAGCGTTGCTTGCGCTGCAGATACGATGGGAAGCAGCAGCGCCAAGTCTGGCATTACACTGCCAGGGCGGAATTGCCGTACTCCCGATATTCCTGAATACCACCCACCTCACAATTAGTATCAGAGGCTCGGAGACCAGTGAACTCGCCACCTTGCTCAACACCGCCTTTCCTAGGCTGGAGTCCCTGATACTCACGACCGACAACATTCCCTCCCCGGTAGCCCCTCCGGACCGCGATTTGCCATGCACATTCCGTACTTTGACACAGTTACAAGCCACGCTTGAGCTGGCATTGCTTATCCTTCCGCTGGCCAACATTGACAAGCTCACGCTACTGGGACCCGATACGCCAGCCCTGCTGCTCGCCCTTGCTGCCCTTCCTACGCGCGCACTTGGAGCAGTCACGGATCTGACGCTTGCAGTGCTAGAGGGGTGCGACACTAGCAGCAAGCTGGCATCCATAGCCAGCTACTTCCCTGCATTGGATCTTTTGAATGTCCACCTCGCATTTCACTATGGAGACGAATATGTACACTCGGTGGGTGCCTGCGATATCGACAATTACTGACCCATTTCGATCAATTCAGCGGGCCTGTGACCCGTGACCGTTTGGCCGAAATGTCCAATTCGGCCACAGGCCGAATTTCGCGTGACCTATTACCCGATTAGGAAGTTCGGCGTGCCGCAGGTGCCGAAAATTTCGAAATCTTCCCGATTAGGACAGTTTGGGACCAAAAGATTTGGCTGTGACCCGTGACCCGCCGAAATATTTCGGCCAAAAAATCCGATGTGACCGTGACCCGCCTAATTGAATGAAATAGGTCAGTATGAGGGGTGACGAAATCAGTGGGACTGGGACTGGGCCACCCCAAACCAGTCCTACTGATCGAGTCCAATCCCACTGATCAGCCCTTAAGCAAGGGTGATCAGTGGGATTGATGCACTCGACGCATGCTTCCTATGACCTCGGGAATCAGCTCAGGATCAATTCACGAGCTGCGCAGCAGGCCTCCGCGGCAGCGTGGGGTCCGGGTGGAAAACCCCGGCCGCGCCGTAACTACGTGATAAAAAGCTCCAGAGCACCTAGGAAAGTGAGAGAGGGGAGGAGGGAAGAGAAGAGTGCTCCGCGCAGCGGGCCCTGCGGCGAGCAGAGGCCCCCGGCAGGGTGGGTCCAGGGCAAGGCCCTCGTCCTCTCTATCGTTAACGTTTTCTTGTTTGCTGAGGCTCTCCAAATCCCCGTTAGATCCAACGACAACTGGGAAGGGAGCCTAACCCGGGAGCATTGCGCTGCTCGGAACGCTCGCATGTCCCACGACAACAACTCGGACTACGGAAGCACATTCGTAGAGCAGCTTTGAGCTGATTAATCTCACAAAACTATGGATTGCACGCGCTAATGTCCTCCCCCTTACACTTCATGTGACAGCCTTTCTTGATTACGGCGCAGACATTACTCCCGCTGGTATCTCGCTGGCGAGACGTCTCACTAAGCGTGCCAATGGAGACGCTGGCCCAGCTGTTTTTGGCTGGATCACAATTTCCAATGCTACAGCGTCTTTCGATTGCGGCGTCCGAGGGTGACTGGGAGTTGAAACGACTGCGAATCCTGGACGCACCGGAACTGCGATCCCTACAAATACTCTCAGTGGAGATCATTGCGCTGCATCCCTCCAAGGCGCCATTTGCACAGCTAACAACCTTGTACTTCAAACGCCTCGCTGGAGTCTCTGCTGCCTTGGACATCTTGAAGCACAGCAGCAGCCTTCAACAATTCTAGCCTGGTAATCACAATGGCTTTGTCTAGGAAAATTGTCTGACTTTGACCTCAGAGCGACGAACATCTAGTATGTAGTGCTTTTGAAGTTTTCTCGTTTAACCCTCCAAAGGCGCCGGCAATTATGACATGTAGATCACGCTTATCGAGATGGATTTCTGTATGGACGGCGCCATCCTTTCCCATTCG